GGAGGGCCGGGTCGGGCCGGGATCTTCCGCAAGCCTTACTCAAGCCCTACGCAAGCCATAAACCCTTTAAGGTAGGGCGTGTTCCTGTTTCTATTGACCTTAACCTGTAAGCAATACTTTAAACCTTACATCCAACCTAAACCCCGCCTAAAAGCAGGCTCTAAGCTTGAAGCAGAACATGAACTAAACCGTCACCCTAACCAACCTACACCCGAAACCCTCCCCAAGCTCTTGTCGATTCGCAGCCTTATAACTTTATTTTAACTTTTGACCCTAAACCCCAAACTCGAAAGCTTGAGCTAAACCCAAAACCCCAAAACCCCACAACCACACCACAGGGGGAAGAGGGACCCCACACCCCACCCACAGGGGCGAGGGGGGGAACAATGGGGGGAGGGGGGGGAGCCGCGGAGCGCCTGACCATATATACACATATGTGTGTATACATATGTAATTATATGTATACCTACATACCTCGTACACATATATGTATGTGTATATATATATATATAAATGCACCCATGCCCCTGCATGGCGTTGGAGTCGAGATTTGAGGCAGGTGAATGTGTATCAGCTCGGGCATCAGGAGCAGCTAAACCCCTTGCGGGTCATCTGGAAAGCTCTGCTAGGTACATACGCGCGTACGTACCAACGTACATACATATGTATGTATATATATATATACATATGTATACTGTATATGTATGCATATATACATATACATACACACCTGTGTGAGTTATGGTATTTAGTATGTGCTGTAGAATTTGAATATGCAATAGTTGCTACCGATGTTGAAAATAAGGCTTGTGCTTTCCAAGATCATTGGCCTGGCCCAGCGAAGAGACGGCGGCTTGCTTGCGTTGGCCGCCGGCCCGGATGGACACCACCTGTAATGTCGGGGCCTTAATAACAAGCATAGGGTTTGGGGCAAAGTATACCACAACTACTGTAAGAACCCTGGATTATAGAAATATATGGTTATATCATACTACAACTACTATAAACAACCCTAAGGGTGCGTTTAGGGTTTAGCGTCCCCTGTCTGCATGGCTTCCCTTGGAGGTGGGACACCTTTTAAGCCCTTCCGAAGCGCCATGACGCGGTGAAAGGGCCAGAGTAATTTCCAATATCCTTCGGTAATTTCCTTGCATGATGGACTCCAAGATACCCCGGAACCCAATTCAATTGTTAAGGCCCCTATCGCAGATGGAGGATGGAGACCAATTCGAGAAGTCTCTTGTCGAGGAATGTCGCGGCAAAAACAACAAGCTGAAGCCTCTGAGGCCGGGAAAGCGCACTTTAGTACACTCGGGTGTATTTCTGCAGTATGCAACAAGTTTGCTAGGATTGTCATGAGTCATAAGTGCCTAAATCCCAACACTAAATACCGGGGACCCTTTACCCATAAACCCAACCCTATTTTCTACATGTTATATGTTGTAAAGCTTTGCAGTGTAGCAGGCCATTCTGGCATGGTGTGCACTCGAATGTATCAAAGATCGATGCTGTTGCTTACCGTGAACTTCCCAAGCACATCGAAGCCCCCGAGCATGCAAAGCGTATGCAGATTGCTACCCAAAGGACCCATGGGAAGGATCCTCAAAGTAGATCCTGAAACAAGGAGGGTACGTTAAGCATGGGTCTATGAAGATACACGCAGCGGGAGCCTCAGCTCGTACCGAAACCCCTCAAACTCCAAGCCCAGTATTATTACATGCTCAAACACCTGTCGACCTCGTACGCAACCTGTACATGGATCCGTTAACCAAAACAAATTCTGAGTATCCCTGGACTCGAAGCATCCGTGTCTTCCCCAGCCTGATCGGGAGCCGCACCAGAGACGCTGAGGACTTCCACTTCCATGCTGCCCTTCAATCGATGTCAGGGTTTTAGGTAGGGCTCATGGTTTATCGCCTTAATTTGGGGTTGAAGGGTGTAGTAGCAGGGCTCAGGACTCAGGGGATAGGTGTGAGAGGAGCTGTTCTTAGAATGGCTGGAACTTGCTTAGCTTCTGCACTGATCTCTTGGGTCACTGGGTTCTCAAATGCTCTCTTTGCCATATTCCTGGTGTCTTTCCAGCCAGCGCAAACTCCGATGGAAGCCGTGCCTCAGCCCGAGCTGTCCGATGCCATGCAGCAAAAGGAGTGTGGTATGGTGCGGTCCTAAGGCCTTGTGCCGCGGGAGTGGGCGGCTCTTGCTTCGCCTATCTGTTCTGGAAAAACGAAGACCTTAGTATCGAGCCAGACAGCTGCCCTTGGAAGGAAAGCCATCGGATTTCATGGCCATGGCCAGTCTGGCAGGAGAAGAGAGAAGAGAGCCCGCTGGTGCCGTTGGGTTTCAATGACAGACCCCTGACAAGGACACGATGAGGACATGTCAACGGCTCGCTGCCCGGTCGGCACAGTCTCAAAATCCGAGGGTTAGTGCGTGGGGCAAGTGCTCCAGTGGTGGATACGAGATTGTGGAACAGCATGGACGACTTGTCGTGGAGGCAGGCTCGGGCAACAGTTCACGCAGGCTTGGCATGTCGCTCACAGCCGGCAATCCGAGAAGGCGGTGAACCCTCGGCCGAACTCCCACATCTCAGTTACTGCAAGTCCTATTGCACATGAAGTGGTGAGGAGAAACTGAAGCCGTGTGCAACACTGAAGAAGAGTATCAACCTGAAAATGCCCTCGGCCTCGTTTCGGAATTCTTGCGTGAACTTGACTATGCTCTGAAGCTTCTGACACGCGGCGACCTTTTGGTGAAACTCGTGTCGCTGGCTCAGTTACGTGCCTGAGGCGGCAGGGACCATGCGTCACAGGTCTCAATTTCAGTTGGCTATGCCAGTGGCAAATCCACAATCAGAGCGGCGTGGCTGGTGCGAAAGCCATTGATCGGGAAAATCCTACAAAGGAACTTTGACATAGCTACCAGCAAGGGCCAGCGAAGACACCCTCTGACATTCGGATGTGTCCCCGTCCAAGCCCTGCTTTAAAAAATCTGGGATCGCCTGTCCCCGGGCAAAGTCGGCCGCTTGCCACTTCCGGCAATTCCGGAGATCCAGCCTGGCACCGGCTGCGATCAGAGTTGCGGCGGCCTCGTACTGAGTCGATCTGATGGCCTGCATGAGAGGAGTGCTGCCCTGCAAGTGGTAGGCAAAAGCTGACAACGCCGTGTCTCGGCCGAGTGAGTGCTGCATGGACTTCGCGGCATAGAACAAGCGGCCCACAGGTCTCAGATCATTCCGACCGAACTGGAAATCGGGATCAGCGCGCAGCTCCATCAGATGTTGGATCAGCTCAGCCGTGCCACCGCGGAAAGCCGCGGCGTGGAAGAGTGCCTGGGACAGCGCCAGTGGGCTGAGTTGGTGCGATGCCACCATCTCCTGTACTGACATGGTCGCTGCGAAAGCAGCCGCAGTCTGCAAAGCGGTGAAGCCCAACAAGTTCTTGCTTAGTGGATGGGAACCAGCGGCGCACAGGAGCCGCACGCACTCGGCACTGTCCGAAGAGACTGAGTCAATGGACTGAAAAGTCACGCTTTTCAGAAGGGCCTTTGCATCCAGCAACAACTGGATAGTGTCATGCTGCTTGTAGAATACTGCAAAGCTTAATGCAGACATCCAGAGGGGAAAGCCCAGCTGAGGCTCATCTTTTGATGTGAGCTGGTTCACATCTACCTTCCTCTCCAACATTTGTCTTAAGACTTTCGTGTTCCCCGCAATTGCAGCGTAATGAAGCGGTCGCCAACCTGCACTGTCCTTTTCGTCGACCCTCCTGAAGCCGTTCTGGTGCAAGAACTCCACCAGGGCCTCATCCGCAGCCCCCTCACTGGAACTGGGAAGCAATCCACCGAGCGGCTCGATCTCCAGCCCTCGCAGATGAACTCCCTGGAGGTTGAAGTAGCGACGGAAAGCTGGCAAGTCACCCAGTCGAAGGCAATGCATCAGCTTTCGGAGTATGATTTGCTGCATGACCGGTCCCAGCAGGTGCCGGTCAGCGGCAATTGTGAACTCGCCTTCCCCAACAGATCCGCACACAAAGGATGCCACCGTGCCAACAGCTTCAATGGAGGATTCGCTTTGGATCAGAATCCATGTGCTATCGGGGGACAGCTCCCATGCAGCGCGCTCAACGCGACACCAGCCTCTACGACTCCACGTCCCAGACGTGAGCACTTTGGACTCCTCGGGGCAGTCGAGCACTGGGCAAAGTGCGAGGAAGAGATGGCATCTCGCTATATAGGCTGGGATGCTGTTGATGGCAGTGGCCTGCTGGCTGCCGTCCTCAAGATCTGTTGTGTACTTCCGATTCTCCAGCTGTGGACACGAGAAATAATCATACCAGATGAACCATTCGTGGTTCTGCAAGTCTTTCAAAGGAAAAGGCTTGGCGGTGGCCACGAAAGTTTCCGTGATCGGGTCCAGGCGCACGAAGCCTTTGCCTCCTAAGAGCCGCCTCAAGGCAGCCTGCAGAACAGCCATCTGCTTGAATTTGGGGTCAGGATGCTCCTTTGCTATCCACTGGTGTGACACGAAGGCCGCCTTCTTCCCACCATCGCTGTGGAAGACGACGAGTTCGCCACTGGCCTAGCACACAAAATCTTAAGTTGAGTCCGTTTAGGGTTTAGCGTTGTACGGGCTTCAGTGAAGGGTCGAGGGAACGAGAAGAACTTGGTACCTGACTGACGGCTTGCCTGCCCCCTCCCAGAGGGCAGCAATCCCCTGTCCTGAAAAGCCTCCTAGAACTCGCCGGCCTAAGGCTTAAGTCCTAAAGAGCCAAGAAGTGAAGAGTTTCTCGATTCCGTTGACACAACCTGGCCTTCAGCTTCTCGTGCGGCTCAACTGCTGTCATCTTCAGCAGCCGCTCCACGGAGACTGTGTACATGGGGAAGTGCAGTGGAGCAACCTCTGACAAGGCCCAGGAGCAACACACGACAAGGGCTTTTATCGGGTTCATAGGGAGTTTAGGGCTCAGGGTTTATTGGGTTCATGGGGGTTTAGGGCTGAGGGTGAATTGGGTTCAAAAAGGTTTTAGGGTTTATTGGGATCAGAAGGGGTTTAAGGGGTTTGCAAGTGGGCTATGATGTCTCGCGGCGTCCGCGTCATCGGGCAGCGCTCTTGCATAGAGCTCCAGCGGTGACAAGGGCTTCGCCGCAATGCAGGACATAGGCGCAGACTTGGCCAAAAGATCAAACTCTTTATCTGGACGTTGAGATTTTTGCGACCAGTGCAAACACGGCCGTACCTACGGATTGATTGCCATGTCTGGAGGATCGACTGCAATGAAAGGAGTCAGGAAGCATTGCTCGAAAGCAAGGGCTGCAGTGGCGTGACGGATATTGCGCAGAACTTTACAGCCAAAGTCCAAGGTATTGCGGACGGTCACTTGCTCCCGGTCTCGGCTGCAAAACCTCAAGACCGAAGACTGTCAGAGTCATGTGTCAGAACTGGAGTCAGAGCAGTCAGCACGGGATACAGCGTTTCTTTGCGCACCTGCACAGTGCGGGTTTTTGGTTGGAAAAGCGTCACGGCTGCCCCCTTCTCAAAGCTCGATCTTTGGAACCTCCGGGACGAGGCATCCGGGCAAGTTTGTCCCGCACTCTGAGTCTTCTGGTCTGGTGAGGCTAGTGCTCTCCTGAGGCACCGCTGTACCTCCTCCGGTGGTTGAGCGCCAAACTTTGAGTTGACGCTGGGCAGGAGTTCGGGCCTATCTCAACGGCATCCAGCTGCCGAATGAAAAGCCACGGGGCTGTTGCCAGCCATGTGCAGCCCCGTGGAAGCAAGCACAGCAGAAGCCAGTTGACCACTCTTACTCACATGTCCCCACACCCTCCGGAATGCTGAATGCAGGAAATCAGCTCTCGTTGCCTTCAGCTTTCCAGGCAGCGGTCCGCCGTTTAGGACCCCATCGACGAAGCCATCCAACTCCTTTGGCAATGGTCACTCGGGTGGCTTGAGGCCTGCATCTGAGGTCTCAGGACTACGAATTTCCCCGCACCTCGAAGCGCAGTTCGCCCGTGTGAACCTGGCGGGAAGAGGACGGAGAATTGCTTGATGTTTGCGTTCGGACGGAGGTTGATCTCTTGATCTTCGATTCTCTTCATCTTTGGTTCCATGTACTGGGATTGTTGCGCCGCCAGGATTAGGTCATCCGCTGTAGGTCAACACAGCAAGCCTTGAACCGAGATCGTTTTGATCGCAAAGCAACCTTGGCTTTCGGGGCTCTTTCAACCACAACTGCGTCAACTGCCGATGAAGTGTGCTCTCAGATCCAGGCGAAGAAGTCACTTGCGTCAGATTCATGCAGGTCAAACGCCTCGCGACATTCTACAGGAATTCTTTCGGCTCTGCGACATTGGCCATCTGCACAAGAGCTGCACCAAGCACCAAAGCGGACGCAATAACGTCTAGAGCTGATGCGGGCCGGAGTCTTTGGAGGTGTTGGGGGCTTTTCGAGGCCTATGACCTACGAGCCTTCAGGCCACAAGCCCGCAGCCATGTATCCAACTTCCCATCTGCAAAAAAAATCTCAAGCCTTTGGTATCTGCGCGGCATGATTTGAGTCAGCTGAGCGTCGAGTCTCGGGTCTTCAAAGGCTGCAGCTACAATCACAGCTGCTGGGCCAAGGCGCGTCCAGGATGGAAGGGCTCAGCTCCACGTTGGCCCACATCATCTGTCAAGATATCTCCGGGGCTTACTTCCAGAAGTTGAAGTACGTCCATGGCCAAGTTTGAAACCAACTCAAGACCACCATTCAGTGCTCAATGGAGGTGAAGCAAACTATAATCCGAAACAGAAGCTGGACATGCACGCTCAGACTCTCGACAGGTCCGCAGTTCAAGAGCCGCTACTTTAGAGTTTGCAGAGATGGGTTTCGGCATTTGAAGTCTGGGGCTTCAGACAAGGAGCAGCTACGGAAGGGCTGCCACCCGAATTCCTTTCTGCTAGGTGGGAGAAGATCCAAGCTAGAAGGTCCCCGGCTTAGTTTTGAGATCCCGTTCTTCAACTTCTACTGATAAAATGGCAAAAGCACATCTCAGATGTCATGCTCTGATCAGCTGCAAAGGGAACGATGATTGGAGGAACTCTGCTATTTGCACTTTAATTCCTTCAAGTCTGGAGCGGCTGCGTGGAATGTTGTCGGGCAACGAACCCCGAAAGCCTTTACTCCTACACCTCAAATCCCTGTCCCGTCACATGACACGAACACGGGACTTAGCAAGCAGGCTTTCAGCTGACCTGCAACGAGGATCAAGGAGAAGAGGGCACCTAGAAGTGTAGATACTGTTGATGATATAAATCCTGCATTACCCATAATAAGGAATATACAGTATTTCCCATAGTTTAGGGTCCTTAAGGTAATGCAGGATTTATATCATCAACAGTAAGAATCCCTTAAGCCCCTTCGTGCAGGGCCGAACCCCAATTCCAAACCCCAAGCCCAACACACACAATTCAGAATGGGGGCAGAAGCCCTCGATACTAAAGAAAGCCTGCAGGACCCTAAACCCCGAAAGCAAGCATATTTTTGAACACACCAACTCTTTAGGAGCACTACAGGAAACCCTAAATGCAAACACGACCCGGAAGTGTCGGCCTTGATCGGATCTCTTCGGTACTTCTGTGCCAGCTGCCGGGTGGCCTCCTCTACGGCCGGATCTGCACCGGCCTGTGAGGGGTTTAGGGTTTTAAGGGGCTTTAGGGTTTTCGGGTTTCAAGATGATTTTAGGGTTTGGGGTGAAGAGGGGATGGAATGTTTGGGACGCTTGGGTGTGTGCTCGGTGTGGCCCGGCTTGCGGCTTTAAATCATTTTAAGTTTGAACCTTTTGGCATTACTGTGATTGGCCTGGGCTAATGATCTCTCTCGGTTTTTGTGTGGGCATAAGTTGTATAAGTTTCAAGTTGCGGTCGCTTCGCCCCGGCCCTCCATGTTGATGCAGGCATGCGGACTGAAGGGCGCGAGGGCAGCTGTGGCCTGATGCAGCACTGTTGGCAGAAAGTCCCGAAAGTTCAGAACCCCTGCTTTGAGCTGCACCAAATCCCCGAAAGCTGGTGGCCTTGAGCCACAAGAAGCAAAACTGGCTGTCTGTTGGCCCGCAGTCGCCCGCCTGCTCTTGGCAGCTTCGAGCTGGCATGTAGCGGACCGATGCAACTGACTCGACGTACTGGACATATCTGAAACCGGTCATGACAAGTGGACCTCCAGCAAACTCAAACGAAACCAGGGGCAGACCCTGGGCACCTCAATCCGGTCGCGCGAGAGCTCTTTAAAGGTGGCTTGAGGTCCGGCCTGGGATGCGGGAGGGGAGCTGCTTCTCCGGCTTAGACCAACTTTCTCGCTCCCTTCTGCTTCTGCCCTTCCCGCTGAAGGGCCTTCTTTCCAAGCGCGATGGCCTTCATGAACCAGAGGTTCAGGGACTCCTGGCAAGGGGTCCCAACAGCAATCGAAGTTCTGAAGTCGTCAAATCGCTAGAGTGAAGCGAAGGTGCCCGAGTATCCAATGATGGTGCTATTCTGCATCGCAGGCTGTCGCGCCTTCTTCAAAGTCAAGCTGAACTTCTCGGTCACCTGCGATCGATGGAGACGTTTCTCCGATTGCATGTCTCACGATGCACTATTCTTTTTGTACTCCACAACGCAGTTTAACTCGGACCAGCGAGTCTGTGCGAAGCCTTTCCGATCTCATCGAGAGGGTCAATCCTCACAACTTGAGGTATCCTGACGTCGTACCTTGCAGCGGCATGGGATTTGGAGGCTTCCAAGCACGGTCCACGTCACCCGACACCTTCGAAGAACTTCGATCCCGCCAACGCCCAAACCTACAAAGCAGTCTCTCACGGCTCACCGTGCCAATGTGGGGCTTGACAAACTAGACTAGGGCTTTCGGGCATACTATCGGAGATTTATGGAGGGACTACAAGGTAATACTTCTGCTAAATACTCGGTCCCGAGCTCTATAACAAATTATGCACCATGTCAAATCTGTGACAACATGAAATGGACTATACAACATATCACGTATATTATATGATCACATATACAAGATCCTCTCCGAGGGCCGCACTCCCGCTGCAGGGGTGTCTTGAACACTCCCGTTCTGTCGCAGCGCGGCACCTCAGATTGGCTTCTGTGCACGATGGGCTGATGGGTGGGCCGGAGCCTCAGGGGCTTTAGGATGAAGTCCACAGTTTTTGGGTGTTGAGGGCTGCCCCTGAGTGACGTTGGGCAGGTTCTGACGATTCCATTTGCTTCGATTCATGTATGTCCTCCATTTGTCACGTCTATGAAACACCCTCATAGGGGCCTAAATATTACCTATATTATTTTGCGGGTTCCTTCTTATGACTATAGTATGATTTACCCCAGAACCCTATTCTGATTATTAAGGCCCCTACATTACAACAACCCTGTGGGGACCCACTCTGGATGGAAACCTTGCAAAGTACAAGACAAACTCCTGATGCCTGGTCAAAGAGTCTCCTGCTGCTGGGGCTTGGGTTTGGGGTTTATGGCTTGGGTATCTCATGGTGTTGGGCTTGAGGGTTTCAGGGCTTGGAGTTTCGGGTATAAGGGAAAAATAAAGGTAAGCACTTTCCGGATGTTGTGTCAACCACCTGCACTCCCGGACACCCCACCCAACCCTGAATCGCAAAATCCCTAAACGCTGAAGCCCCCTGAAGCTCACAAGCATCGTAGCTTTTTTTAGGAGCCCTAGTAGCGCTACTATCTCTCACCGAGCGCCAAGCGGTGGCGAGGGAGGCTCGCCCATTGAATTCTCTGCTCAATCCCTGGCTGACATGCGTGCAGAGATATCTCAAAACGCTACCAGTATACTAATAACATCGAATAACAATAGTAAGGATCAGAAACATAACAACAACGATAATCAAGCATTCTGATAGGAAGGTGACGCAGAATCGAGGTTCTTCGTGAGGTCCCCGTCAGCTGCAGGAGCCTTCCACATCGGGGGAGAGCTCGTCTTGTCCTGAAGCACGTGAAGAAGGCAGCCTAAATATGCTCAAAGCACAAGTGCGATGGAGTTGACAACACAGATCGTAACTATTCGATGCTGTGGCAATTCAACTAGCGAAGACCGTCACAGAGCAGGAACAAGACAGCGTTCTTCAACACTCCGGCATAGTGAGAAGAAGCCAAAGAGCAAACTGACACTATCGATAACACTGTTGCTGCTGCTCCTGCTCCTGCTGCTCCTCGTAGCAAAACTACAACAACATAATATAACCACCACCACCACCACCACAACCACCACCACCACCACCACCACCACCACCACCACCACCACCACCACCACTTCCACGACGACTACCACCAGTAGCACTGCCGCTGCCTTGCCGGTAGTACTGCTGCTACTTCTGCTCCTCCTGGTAGTACTGCTGCTATTGCCACTGCTGCTGCCGGTGCTGCTGCGGTGACAGCGCCTGATGCGTGTAGTATAGTTGTCTTCCTATGAGTTTTCATCACCATAAGCCAGAACATCAGCCGCAGCCACAGCATTCCTCGAAGATGATCGGAGAGACTTGAAGGCTGGACCATGAGCTTGCGGCTGCGAGCCCGAAGAGTGTGGGCTCTCTCCATACGATCACTGCGGAGGCTTGGGTTATGTTGAGAACACTCCGGTGCTCGTGTCCTGGTCGCTACATTGATTCTCGGAACCGTGAAATGGAAGACGAAGCAACAACGATTGAGCTAATCCTGTCACCCAAGCCCCACAACCCAGCTTTTTGCCTCCAAGGTGCAGTGAACAACAGAATGTGTGGTCCCTTGACATTGTCAAGCCACTTGCGCAACTCGTGTTTGTCCTGCTGTCGAGCCCGCAGGAAGATCAGAAATCATTCTCTCATCGATGCCAAGGTTGGGGCGATTTTGAACCAAGGGACTCCAGCTGCCTGCAAAATGGAAACTGTCCCCTTGCCCCTCAGGCACTCGCAGTTCTCCTGGAGGACTGTGGTGTAGTCGGGCATCATGGTGCTGGCCCACCTAGGACCGAACAACAGAAGGATGTGAAAAAACGACAGCTACAGGCAGGCCCTTATCAAAGGATTCAAGCAACATTGCTCCACTGACTCTGAGCCGGCGCACTTGCCCAGATTCTTGGCAGAGGGCGTACCCTCACTGAAGATCTCAGGAGGAGTCCCCTGGCATCAGGGGAACTCACGTCTTGCAGCCCTCAAGCCTCACAAGCTTTGCACGGTCGCTCCGACCCAAGATGAACACGGTAGTAGACAAAGTGGCAAAGCCCCCATGAAATGGAGCAACGCAAGTGAACATTCGACACCACAGGCAGGGTCTGTCTAACCTCATGGATTCGGAGCTTTCGCGGTTTTGACACGCGGGAGATATCCCTGCGTGCAGGATTGTTGACAGGCCAAGCTGCAAGGACCATCTTTCATGCTCTGCCTCTTTATTCATCAGTATCCAGGGGAACCCTTAGCAAACAACATAAGCAACACTCATTGCATGAGCTGCGCAAGAGCGCAATGCCCAAGACTAATTGGCTATATATTGGGCCAGTATGTAAATAAACATGCAAACGGACACACACACACACACACGCCCTCGGAAACTCGAGAACCTCATTCTGTGTATGCTATGAACTCAGCTCATCTCAGTTCACTGGCGAGCTGATGGTCCAAAGCTCAACATGCTCCCGGCACAAGGGGTCTGAACTCAACTCCCTTTGAAGTTCGGGTTGCGCATGTACAAAAACAAACACATGTCTTCTTGTCCACCTGCTTGCCAGCCTCGGCTTTCATGCATTGGATGGGGTGCATATATGCTGGTCTATGTATGTGTATATACATATGTATGTAACGTACATGTACATGTAATCTGCAGGTACCTCAATATCAACAGCTACGTTTTCATATCAAGCATATGCATGTACATATACATGTACAAATATATGTACACATGCATTTCATACATATACATATAATACAGATGCCGATACACGTACAGATGCATACATACTTACATTCATACCTACATATCTACCTATCTATCTACCTATCCATCACGCGCACACATATTACTTATACATACATGTACATATATGCACACATACACACAGTTAGACAATTAGACATCGACACATGCATGTCCGTACTCAGATGTGTGCATGTGTGCCCTCTTTCAATCTCCTTCTTTCTCTCTCTGCCCAGACTCAGCTTCATGGTACTGCGCCGGTAAATAGAGTATTGCACTCGTGAAGATACCCTTCGGCCACAATCAGCTCCCAATTCCCCCGCATTAGAGTTGCCTTGTCCTCTCCGAACCAGCGGAAGGCAGGGTACCTAGGTTTGGCAGTTTAGGATGTAGGGGTTTAAGATGGGTTTACGGGTTTAAGATGTTTACTGAAGTGTTGTCGGCTTGACCAGAGCTGGATGAGCAAAGTTTGGGGGGCACGCTGAATGCATGCGTCTTTGAAGCTGGAACATGCAACGAATCACATGGTTCGGAGCTCCGAAGCATGGACGATCCCATCGTAGCTAAAGGAAACTCTTTCGCCGATAGGTTCCGGGCTCGTTGATGGAGGCCTTGCTGCACACGTCCCGCTGTTGCCGGCAATTGACGGCACCGATGTTGAGGAAATCCTGGCACGTGCAGGATTTTTTGCCGCTTCCCACGCCGCTGGACGAGTTTCTAAGCGTTTCCCGGCGGTGCCTTGAAGGTGTCGGCGAACTTGATGTACTCGCTTCGCACCTGTCTGAAGCCGTAGGAGCCGTAGGATCCGGGGTGTGCCAGTTTATATGGGTTCATATAGTTTTCTTATGCGTTTTTATATGGTTGTCAATTATTTGTCACTTGTTTTCTATTGGGTTTTTCGATTTAATCTCCAAACCCAGAGATAGAAAGATGCAAATAACCCAGTCGGCAACGAAAAGCGTGGCAAGTCCCAGCGAAGCAAGGCAAACAGACGCAGATAAACCAAACAAATGCAGACAACAAAGAGAACCGAGACGCAGATTGTTCTCCCCATTCTCTGTTGGATTTGAAAACAGTTGCGTTAATCACCACCAATCACGTGCGTAGGTGCTTTAGCCAACACACATAGAGAGGTCTGTGTTTTCGGATTCGGTGGTCGTTTCAGACATGGGCGGATTGCCTCTTTGAAGCAGTGGGATTCACAAACCCGGTTCATCAAACACGCTCCCTCATTTGGCGATGTCGGTCCATCATGTATCTTAAACTCATTTGGCGATGCCCCCCCATTGGGCGATTCCGGTTCGTCATATATCTTTTATAAGCACGCCCCCTCATTTGGCGTCTCCGGTTCATCATACATCATAAGCACGCTCCCTCATGTGGCGATTGCAGTTGATCATATATCTTAAACATGCCCCCGCATTTGGCGATTCCGGTTCATCATATATCTTAAACACGCCCCCTTCATTTGGCGGTTCCGGTTCATTTAACAATACGAAACAGGAAACAAAACAAAAAATACGTAGATAACGCAACAAGAAGACACAGATAACACGGAAATCCCTGAGACATGACAAAGACAGAGATAACACTGAAAAACACAGACAACGCAACCATAAAAGACACAGATCACCCCCTTCCCGAGAAAGTTGGGCATTCGGTTAATGCAGGATGGACTGGCCGCTGCCGAAAAAGCGGGCTAGACGCAACTCTTCTTGTGATTACCTGGTCGCTGCAATGAGGTGTGCCGTAAAGTTGCTACTGTACAAGTCGCACCATGCAGTTTCTGCGTAGATCGTGTGCTGCAACGAGGCAAATCGTCGACAGCATCATCCAAGCTGCAATTCCCTTCGCTGAGCGGCTCTTCGTCCTCATCATCCGAAGCTTCGAGGCAAGCGTGCTGCATCCTTCGCAACAAGTCGCCTGGTGGGATCAAAATCCAATAGTTTGCTTGGCAAGTCCCGCTGTGCGATGGATGCCGACGGAAACATGATTGCCCGATCCTGCCGCTGGAACGGGCCACAATGTTGTCAAATGTTTTGCCGTTTGCATAGTCCCGCCCGATCCAATCCAATGCATCTTCCACCTGGAGTTGATGCAAGAAATCACGGTTTCGAGAAAGCGCTGCATAGCCAAGAAGTGCTGCGAAAATGCATCAAACACCCCACATTCCAACAGCAGCCGTGTAACAATAAGACATGAAGATGGTTTCTGGCGCTCTGTGCCGCCGGTGGCCATGTACTCAGTCAAGACATCAACGCGCTCGCGTCATGCAGATGCGCTGCAAGGCCGAATAACGGCGCTTTAGAAACGTCCTGTGCCAGCCGTGTCAGCACGAAATCGCATAGATTTAGATCGCAAAATTTGTGGGACCAAAAATTGTCTGGGGATTAGGTCTCTGTGGATGATTCGGCATGATGCAGGTACACAACTGCCCGATTAAGTTGGTGTAAGAACCAAGGCACGTGATCAACGCTGAGAGTCGTTCTCTTTATCAGGCACATAAGTCTGTGTCCATGAACTCAAAGGTGATGTACACTTCTTCAAGGCGCCAATCACGGCCTTTTGTGTAAACACCATGTCTCTTGTTGCAACGACGGAGCTCAGCAACGTTCTCTTTTGCGAATATCCGCTTCGCTGCATATCGTGTGTGGCAATTGCGAACAGCAAACACCGAGCCACCTGCCCGTTGACCCAGCTGCGGTCAAGCATCAAGCATGTTGGCAGTGTTACAGAAGAACTTTCGCCCGTCGTTCGGGCCAACAAACACGTCTCTGAACTTGACGATGTCTCAGCTGCATCACTCGCTGAGGTGGCTCCGGGCAATTGCCACTTTACCGTTTCCACTTGCTCCTCGTGGCTTCCGCCGCCAACGACAGCCACCCTGCCATGACAACCAGGGCAGCCAACTGCCCAGCGTCAGCGGTGAGATTGGCTCCATGGTATGCGGCCTAGAATGCTGGCTGCTGTGAGGGAGAGCTTGCCTGGAACTCACGTACACGGTCTAGCCTTGAAATCCTGCAGATCATGAACTGCCGGGGACTATTTGATCCGCCTCAGAAGAGGATTGATCAAGGAGTGTGGGGCCGGCGCCGATCAGACTGATTATTTTCGCAGTAGAACAACTATTTGAGGGTTGCTAGGTACCTTATCATATGTGTACTCCGTGGATGTCGTACATGGCTGCTAGATGTCTACTTCTACTGGTGAAAGAAGCTCACAACCCTTCCAAGCACTGCCAACATGCCCATGCAGACGCTCGAGATCGCAATCTCCCGCGCGATGATGATGCCGATGATGAAGAAGGTGATGATGGTGATGATGATGATGACTGTGATGATGATGATGGTGATGTAAGTGCACTTTCTTGCTACATGTGCAAGGTGCCCTTGCTTCGTCCCGGCGTCTATTTCTCTTCACGATGTGCCTCCCGAGACTCGTCGTTATTCGGCTTGTAGAACCTGAGTTGAACGTCAGAATCTTGCTTGGCATCCCTTTCCATGGCTTGAGGGTCCATTGGGATGCGCTCCAGCCGGCTTGCTGCTGACTTCTCTCCTAATTCTTGCTCCTTTGCCCGATGCCTCGAAGTTGCTGTCGGTTGTAACAGTACCTCCTGGGCAACCCCTGGCAAGACGAAGCTTACCTACTAAACTCATTAATCCTATAACACCCAAATCTCCCCAAAACGTCACCGGGTAGCTGAACAAACCAGGGCTCGATACGGTCATTGATTTGCGAGCCATACCTGCAAGCTGAAAAGGAATATCCTTTTTCTCAAGCAGGGCCGCAGAGTTGAAGGGTCTTGTTGGCTTTGGGCTCACTCCTACAAGGGTTTGCTTTCAGAGTTGCAATACGGGGTACTCTCTGTGTCCTGTAAGTTCGCTCTTCCGCGACTAGACCCAAGGTACAAGTCGGATGTGAGCTCGGTGACGTTGGTGTTGCCGTAAATGTCCTCCTGACGAAGGCTAAGCTGAGTGGTGCTGTGTGAGACTCGTGCAATCGCATGGCGTCAAAGACATGATGGGAGATTCTGCAAGCAAAATCCCCAGCCGCCCAGCCGCTCTCCCGAATCTGCCAGGCACAAGTCCAGTCCACAGCAACCAGCCCAAGCTCTTTTCTTCACCGGCCGGGCCCTCCGTGACTAATCTTATCTCACTGTAGGACGACAACTTGGGCATGCGAGGTCCTTGGGTCCAGGCTCACCTTCTTCCATAAACCTGAGAGACACAGGGAGCGGAGAAGACTCAGAGATTTTTGAGAGTTGGATAACTTCTTGCCTTCACAGGAAGCCGCAAGGTTGCTTGTCAACAAGCAACGCACGAGCCCGGCAGACGAACATGGGAAGGGCTGAAGGACGTCGGGTGCCGAGGCGGGGAGGGCATACTGCACTGTCAAGAAGAGTCGAAGTCTCATTTGACCTCGAACACCGGTGTAGACAAGGGTGGTGGTAGAGCTGTCTTAGAAAAGGCTCCGGGGTGGGTCACAACCCACGTCTCAGCAGGTCGACCTTAAACGGCCCCTTCATTTACTCAAACTATACGGGCACAATGAGACTTGCCATAAGGATACCACGAGGGTACCACACGTAAGGATTACTGTAAGATACTGTACGGCTATAAGGGCCACAGTAAAGTTCCTACTCCAAAAGTGTTACACGGGAGAGTCTTTCTGAGGGCAGCACATCATCTGGCCTCCTCGGCGGACGATCCTGACCTTCGAAAGGACATGATACTATAGCCTTGTAGCACCCGGATAAGTTCACTTTTTCCGGGCATAGTAAGCCTTATCTGCCCTAAACCCTAAACCCTAAGTCCCCCTATAAAGTAAGCCTTATATCTGCGATGGAGCAAGTTGTCGTCGACTCAATGGGGACGAAACTGCCCTGCATATGCCCAAAAGTTATGTAGGGGCCTTAAAATAATTAGACGAGGGTTTAGGGGTATATTATATACTATAACTACTTAGAACTATGATAAGATATGCCCAAACATAATCATTCGATACGGCGCTGCAGTCAAAACATCCATCCAGACCTCGGCAGTAAACAGGGCCAAATCTTTTGCAGAGGTGGCTTGCCGAACCACTGGAAAAACCCCGAAACTCCGAAGACTGAAACCCAACAGCCTAAGCCCTAAGAATAAAACAAATCCTAAGCCCAGTCCTAAATCCAAAACCCTAAGCCCTATAGTCCTAAACCCTGACCCCACCAACTGAGGACACTGCGTTCCCGTCCGGCTCGCGACCGAAGAACTGGCGAAACATGGCTTTCGCCTGAAACGATGAAAGGTAACTACTCGGGTTTGGGCCGGGGTTTAGGGTTTAGGGGTTAAACCACTGCAGCTTCGGAGAGGAGAAGTGTAGGGTTTAGGACTAGGATTTAAGTTTGACGGTTTGGGGAAGGGTTTGCGGGTTAGCATCTTCTGTTTCCTTTTCTTTCGACGGAGTCTGGGTCATGCCTTTTTGCGGAAGTGGGCGTGTTGCTTCTCGCCAGAGGTGTGACCGTTTATGATTTAGGGTGATGCATAGGCTTGGGGACCTAGGCGTACCCACTGTCAGTGAGGCTATCAAAGCAGCAGGCAGTATAGCTGTCGCTTACTTACCTGCCGGAGGGATCCGGAAGGCGTATTCTCCTCCAACGCAGGTGCTCTCGGAGACTCTGCCAGTGGGGAATCGCTACAGTGTATCAGGAGAGCAAACTTCCTCTTCGACCCTGCTTCCCTCGCCTAAAGCCAGAAGGGAACCATTTGCGAAAGTTCCGGCCTGTTCGTCGGACTGGTGCCCTTCCTTTAGGCCCTCTTCGCCATGCTGGTCGTAGACCTGGAGGGTACGGGGGCGGGGCGCTGTGTGTTGTAAGTGTAAGGTTGTTTTGGGACGAAGCTGCGCAGAGCTGAACCTTCCTATGCCTGTGGAGGGTGAGAAGGGTGTTGAACAACTCTTGCTTCCTCGCAGGGCCCATCAGCTTTTAATTAAGAATCCCTCCCCATCAGAGCCTTCCGCTTCTCGGCATCGCTGAGGACCTGTCGCTGATTCCAGTGGGCAGAGACCCCTGTAAGAGGCTTTGTCCAAAGGTTGATCAGGGTTGAGAGAGAGAATGCTAAAGTGGCCTGCTGCTTGCTATCAGGTTCGGTCGGCAGGCGGGCAATGACTCTTTCTCGACTTCCATCTGAAACTATTGGAAGCCGCTTGCCGAAGGGTTGGAGGCTGAGGGTGCCTGCGAGCGACGCAAACAAAAGCCCGTGGCCGTGCCTCGTAGGCTGAAGACACTTCGATAAATTTTGTCTGGCACTGCTCCTGGTAGGCTCTTGTCAACCGAAGCTCTGGAATTTCAGCCTTGCCTGCTCCACAGCATGGCAACACACTGCGTAAAGAAGTGGCATCCTTGAGAAAACTAGTCCTTGTCATCGGCGCACTTGTCCGGATGGTACTCCAAGGATTTGGCTCGATACGCCTTCTTGATGGCTGCCTGTCCACATAGAGCGCCAGAGCCACACCGAGAGCTGATGAACACTGGAAACTTAGGGATAGCAGCAGGGCTTTGCCACGAGCAGCTACCCATTTCCACCCTGAAGGTCGTTTAGGAGATGGAGAATGGTAACTTCTCATCTTTGGCTGGGAGTTAGAGACTCCACATCGAAAAAGGCATGGTGCAGCCAGAGCGACACTACTCAAACGACAACGCCAGAGTGTGCACACGGTGTATTAGGACGTGACCAAACTCTGAAGTGTAAGTCAGCAAAGCCTGGTCGGCATTCTTGGGGATGCCCAAGATGGCATAGTAATCTGCACCCCTGAGGGTCGGAACAGAAAGCCCGGCAGCTGCAGCCCAAAAATCTCCGCCGATGCTGCCAGACATGCAACATTATGCAACTGCGATACGGCCAATCGAAGCTCTGAACTGAGCTAAACAGAAGTGAAAGCTAAAACTCAAAGTATAAATTCTGCCACGATGGCACCTTACAAACATCCACACCCCAATTCTGGCAGCTTCAAACTCAGCTCCCTGCTTGGCTGCGATCAAAGGCAAGGATGTCAGAACCTGCCATTCCGAAACGGCTAAAGGTTGGAGGTTATATGTTAATATAGGGGCCTTAACAATTAGCATAGGGTCTGGGGCCATTATACTATAATTTTAATAAGGAGCCTCCAAAATACAATTGGTAATTATTTAGGCCCCTATATTTTGCCTGCCTTTGCACTTGTGAGGAGAAGCTCACTTTCACGCTAAAAGGGCTCTCTGTTGCCCGAATGCCCCCTTGACGCAATAATGCTGGGACAGTGTTTTGTTTCGTGGGCCTAGTGTGCTGCCGGCTGCAACTTTGGCCGTGCGCCACAATCTCGAATCTTCCACTCGTACGGCCACCGGTCGTCTTTAAGCCTGGCCCTCCCAGCCTTGCGAACTCAGAATTCGAACCTGTGTCCGAACTGAAGACACTAGAAACTCGAAATGAACCCGAAACGCACCGCCCCCAACATCCCAAGCTTCGACATACCGGAAATTGCGTGTTGGCGCAATTGAACCCCCGAGCTCCAAACAAGATCAGACCAAGGACATTCCACCACTCTCACCGTCAAGAACTAATGACAACTGGCTGTCAGCATCTCAGTATGATGACCTTGCTCTATAGTCTGTATGAGGACAATGCCTATAAACACCAAAGAAGCTGTAGCCAGGGGCACCTGAAGAAAGCTGAGCCAAGACGCCACTCCTGGCAGATACCTTCCGGGCCCAGTTCGTCTTTGCGCTGTCTCTGTTGGCTCCGGCGGTTTAGGGTTTAGGTAACCCAACCCAAGTACCTAAATTTGGGATACTTTTTTGAAAGGAGCCTCAAGTAACGAGATGCAACATGAGGCTCTGGGGGCTCAAGGATTCATAGAGCTCATGGTGATGCATGTCGCGTCAACGGGGGTGATGGCAAAACTTCATGTGCATGGTGGTGTTCTCTGCATTCGCTTGATTCAAGATCTCATGCAAGTCCATCGGTGGCTCCATGGGCATGCATCTTGTCGGCCAAGCCTGCAGCTCCCCTCGCCAACTATTTGTCCCAGTTGCTTTCCGCTGGAGTCACTTTCTCTCTCTCTCTCTCTCTGTTTCCCTCTCAATCCCTCCCTCTCTGTCTCTATGTCTGTCTGTCTGTGTCTCGCTCTCTCTGTCAGTCTGTCTGTCTCTGTCTCTGTCTCTCTGTCTCTCTGTCTCTCTGTCTCTCTGTCTCTCTCTCTCTCTACATTCATAATGCATAAGATACAAAGACTTGTGCACAAACAAACATATCCAACAAACACATATACAATCTCTCCCTCTCTCTCTCTCTCTGACGTGCAGGCTGGCGACCTTTGAGTGCGCTGCGATGCCGAGGCCATGCATGGGCTCATTAAAACCTGGGCCTCCGTCGGTCTTTTGTTGCCCTCTCTTGGGATTCATAGAACTGGTTGGACTCCGACCTGCGGGTGTCTGGACTCTGGACTCCGCAACTCCCTGGTCCCTGCAGCTTCGAAAATCTTGGGACTGTAGTTGCAAGGTCTGTTGCTTGGGGAAACGCTGGGTAATCTGGCACCGGCCTAGGCTGCGAATCCTGCACTCGTGCTCTTGAAAGCTACTTCTCCTGTTGCTGATAACCAAAACTGGTCGGCGCGATTCGTCACACAATTGAACCTGGGGAAGATCTTCTGAGCGCTTTGCGAACCACATCGAACCACCAAAACACGTCTTGCAGAACTGACTCCAATTCTGAAGCCCAAAGCGAAGGCCCAGAGACTCCAAAACTTCTGAATTAAGGAATATATAGCTTAAACTGTCAATTAAGGGGTTTGGGAGTCTCTAGGGGCTTCATGGGCCTGCCTTTGTTTTGCATGGAATTTTGCGCAGCTGGTAGCGCTCGTCGATTGCGAGGCGTCTTTGCATCGAACCCGCAACCATCGCATCATGATGCCTCCCTGAACCATAGAAAGCTTTATGCTGCAGGCCTAGTTAGCTTAGGAATCACGCTCAAGCCGCTGGAAACGGCCCCCTCGTGGAAACCAGTGTCTAGTCACGGCTTCGCATCGGGATGTCTCCGTGAGATCGTGGCTTGCTGCCACTCATTCGACGTGCACAGGTGGGGATGCCTGCAGCAAGGCCATAGGTGGCGAAAAACATGAGAAGCAATAAACTCGGGTAGATGATTTACAAACTTACTCAACCTGACAAGTACTGAGCACGTCTTCCACCTGAACCCAGCCGGCCCCTCTGATACTATCTGAGACCCTTCAATGAACTGATGCTAGATCAACTCCCAGCCGTCACGTGTCCGATTTCTACTGTGGCAACGCTTTTGACTAAGAGCACAGGTCTCGGCTTCAGGTGAGGAGCAGTCTTCGCCTGCCTGACAGAAGGACTGCTCGTATGGCCATGGTGCCAAGTGCACTGCCATCCCGCAAGCGCCCACTTGTCGCTAGTGGCCTTGGGCAATACTTCTCAGGTGAACGTTCAGCTCAGGGTTGTCATCAAGCAGTTCTGTAATTGCCGATCCCGCAGAACCTACATGCCCACTCGACGACTCGAGATACTGAGCCTCGCGCTGTGGTTGCAGCATTGCTTTTGGCACCCACCCTCAAGCGGTTGCGGCTGCGCCACCATCTGAGCCAGCAGAGAAGCAAAGCTCCGGGGATCCTCAAGAAACCGAAGCTTAGGGGACCAAAAACGCTGAACTCCCTGTAGAATCCGCCCGCAGTACCCTTCTAGTAACGACTTCAAAACCCTTTCGAACGCCATGAGAGAAGAAGTTGCTCAAAGACTTGCGAGTGCGCTCAGCGAGCCTGCCATCGGGTACGGTGCCACCAGAAGTCCAAGCAATTTGCCACACCACTGCCCTCCAAAGCGCAGGGTTTCAGAGTTTCAATTTTTTGTCGGGGGAGCGGGAGAGTCCACTCAGCACCTCCCGACAGCCACACAGGGAAGGCCAGAAAGCACCATGTACAGTCTGGAAGACTGCCTGCATGATCACTTGTCCGATCTCTGATCCGAGAACCAAAATCCCACATGTCTCAAACGCAAAGACACAATGCTCAGCCGGCCTTGTTGAAGGGATTGCGAAAGATCCTGGAAGAGTGGCCTGTAGTATGACGAGCATGGACACAACGGCGTTGAAGAAGAAGAAGGTAGTTGATGATGATGATGATGACGATGATAGTGTTGGCGTCGGTGGCGGCGTTAGAGGTGATGCTGCTGGCTGGTGCAGTGGTGTTGGTGTATGCAGCACTGCCGGGTACGCACAATTGCTACACTATCAGACTTCGTGGTTGCTGTTAGTGGTTCTGGTACTCCAGCTTCTGCTCTTGAACGGGTTTTAAACTCTGGACAGCTGTTGTTGTGTGCACGGTTGTGCTGGCTTTTTGCTGCTTCGTACCTGTCGCCACTGTGTACAGGGAACGAAGAAGTGGCTGTGGGTTTGACAGTCACAGCTATCTTTCATTTCACTGATGGATGTACACATAGGTAACAGTAACAGATGTATATACACTTTTTTCTATGCTATCTCCTTATCTGAGCTATGCTGTATCTATCTATCTATCTATCTATCTACCTATCTTTCTATCTCTCTATCTATCTACCTCTCTATCTCTCTCTATCTATCTATCTATCTATCTATCTATCCATCTATCTATCTATCTATCTATCTATCTATCTATCTATCTCTCTCTCGCTCTCTTTCTCTCTCTCTATCTATCTCTCTACCTATCTCTCTATCTCTCCATCTATCTATCTATCTATCTATCTATCTATCTATCTCTCTCTCTCTCTTTCTCTCTCTCTCTATCTATCTCTCTATCTATCTCTCTATCTATCTATCTATCTCACTATCTCTCTATCTATCTATCTATCTATCTATCTACCTATCTATCTATGCTACCTACCTATCTATCCATTCGTTTATCTATCCATCTATGGGTCGATCGGTGGAACCATGGACATGGCAGCGCCGAGGTCCGCGCCAGGACCAATCTGTCGAATTGTCCAAAAATGCTCGTACCTTCGAGTTTATAGGGTTTATAGGGTTTAGGGAGTTTAGGGTTTATAGTTTATAGGGTTTAGGGTTCCCCAGTAAACCCGATTATAGGGTTTAGGGTTCCCCAGTAAACCCGATAAGGGTGCCCTTTTTTCCTACTGTTTGGTTTTACTATACGGGAACCCAAAAAACTAAGGGTTAAAGGGTAAAACTGGGGAACCTAGCTGTGGAGAGAGGCAGGCCTTCCTCCCTTCCCTGTCAGCATGGATGCCTTCCCTTCGGGCAGATCAAGATTCCTTCATGTTAGTTCATGTCTTGCTCCCGCCAAAAAGTGTATACGTTAAGTTCTATAGAGGGATCATACGACCCCCAAAAAGTGTAAAGTGCACCCACTCAGCTACTGAGGGTCGTATCTGCTGGGGATTCCACGTCACCAGCTCCCTCCGGCTTCGCCCTGAACTGCTCTTTCGATTTAGGGTCCGGGTTTTCGCATACACCGACACCCGACAGGCCTGTGCATGTTCATCATCTCATTCGTGGTGAGATTCATCAAGACCTCGGTCATGCCAAAGGATCCAGACCGCCCCTGCACGAAAGGGCATATCGTGAATCGGAACCCCTTGATGAAATCTCCACGGTGCGAAAGTTCAGAGTCTGCGGGTCTGCGACCAAAGCAACGTTGGCGTAAGGACTCCCCCCGGCCCGAGACCCCGAGACCAGGGCCAGCCGAGATTGATGAAGCGTTAACATGAGAACCTCAGTCAACAACAAATCTGTCATGTCGGGATACTGCAGTTTCAGGGCTGTCATGCTCTGTGCCCTGCTGAACCTTCCTTTCTCTAGGGGCCTCGGGGCCTCGACACCCAAAGGGCCCCCTGCCCCTGACCAGGCCGCCCAAAAAGGAGCATTTGTCACCCCTTCTGGGCTTCTGGGTTTGAGGGTACGAAGGCTCTCCGCTCTTAGTCTTAGAGTACCTGATTACTTCCCTCAACCAGCCTTGCAAAAAGAGTGTTCCTAGATCTTCCAAAATACCTTAATTAAGGAACATACCTTAAATGCTAGTAGGATCTCTATTATGATTTATGTTTAAGGTCTATATTTCTTAATTCCCTTACAGACCCCTTTAAGGAGCCCTTAAAGGAACCCCAAAGCCTATCGATTCAAGGTCTACTGCTTCACTAAGGGCGCAAAGGAAGCCTCGAGGTTTGAGCCTGGGCCAGGCCCCCGGCCCATGGCGCCGTGACGCAGTGAATGACAGCCTTGCTTGCGGGGTTCAGGGGTTTAGGGGTTTTAGGGCCTTGGGGTTTTAGGGTCTTGGGGTTTAGGGTTTAGGGTCCAGAACCCCCTCCCCCCGCCTATCGCTTTACCACTTTCTTCTTTAGCAGAAGATGCTTTGGGGGCTTTAGAGTTTTGGGGACGAGATTGTGGAGTCTGCCATACTGCTGTCTTCTGTTGGCGTCGTAACTTAAATGGTCCCCAGGCGTGCCCCGAGCTCCCGGCAATCATGGTCAGCAGAGGATAGCTGGTAATTGCTCCCCACCTTTAGTTTTTGGCCATGGGGTGTTGGGGGTTCAAGGCTTTAGGAACTTTATGGTTTAGGCTTGGAGATCTCATTCCTAGGCGGGGCCAGCTCTTCGGCAACCGAGGAGCGGCGTACCCGGAGACTAAACAAAAAAGAAACGGAGAACTTTTAAAATGAGAGGGGGCGAGGCCTGCTTAAAGGGTTCTAGCTTAGGAGTCTCAATCATTCGAACAGGATTTTTGAGGTAGATGACACTGGAAGTATAATAAGGAACCACCAAAATAGTTTTGGTAACTTCTTAGGCTCCGAAATTGGATGGTGTATGTCCGACCCCAGATGGTTTCGATGTTACCACAGCAGCAGAAAGTCTGGTAGGGGCTCTTCAAGCCTTGACTGTCGCCAAGCAGCATCCACTGCGTGAAGCTCTGGTAGGGAATGAGGCTCATCACCGTGACCCTGGCTGAGTTGCGTTTGGAGAGGGAACGATGCTCATTTCTCGAGATTAGGTAGCGAGGGATGGTGACGCAACTCGCAGATGACACGTGAGCAGCGGCACAAGCAGGGTTTTGAAGCCAAGTGGTTGCAACCAGTGGAGCGCACATAAGGTGTATGAGTGTATGGTCACCCAGGATCAAGTTAGGATGCCATAGCACGAAGGATGATTCTCCTGTGCCCCCGCGAAGCCGCGGATTCTTAGCGGGTGCTCCAGCCGCAGGCTTTGCCATGCTACAGGCGCCAGCTGAGGTCTCCGCATGCAGAGCCGGACGTGTGTCACCTGCATGCCGCGTAAGCATGCGCGTGCGAACTACAGTCATCTGCAGCAGGAAAATGCTGTACCCATCCCAAAGCATCCTCCCTACTCGGAGAAGGGGAGGCATCAATGTATGAAATACTCCCGAGCTGGATGGTCCTCACCTGCGTGAAGAACTCCACGATGGCCAGACCTCACAAGTCTCCAACCCCTGTACCCGGATCTTTCGCAACTCTCTGGTGCCAAAGCTTCTCGAGGCAACAACTCTGCCCTCAGCATGACATGAAAACGGTCGACCCGAAAATACAAGAGGCCATGTCACTCCCTTGTGGATTTGCCAGATCTTGGGATGTTTGAAGTGAGATCGACTCTGTCGTAGTCGCTGAGTCCGCGGCCCACAAACTGACGGTGGTTCGCTTTACCTGCAGTCAGCCAGCAGCCAGAGAACTGTGGAGGAAAGGAACCACGCTGCACACTGCTTTCAGGCGGACGGCGACATTAGCAGGGCTCCACCCGACCTAGCCAAAAAATCAGCCCATCCGCTAACATCGTCTTCGTCCTCGTCATGGTTGCTTCAACAATCCAGCAAGGGTGGTAAACTAGTCCAACCACGCACAAACCGAATCGCCCAAGTCCCGCGTTTCGACAAGGGACCTATGGTATTGTTCAGCCAGACGCAGTAGTGGTCAAACTCCTGCAGGAAGAGCTCAAATCAAGGAAGTGCTGCTGTTCATTTGCGATTGCTGCTAGAAGTCGGCAAATGTTCATACGACGCCTTATACGCCTCGCCATGGGCATGCTCACGAAGACAGCATCAGAAGTTTCGATGACATGCTGCACCAGACCGCCAAGGCGATTCAGTTGGCGTTGCATATATATATATATCTATATATAATATATATATATATATATATCTATATATATATATATATCTATATTGCACTTTGTTGCAGTATAATACATGATAGTACAAACATCGAACTTTGTTACATTATGCTTCTACAATAACATGCAGTATATGATGATATGATGTTAGAATATCGGATTTTGTTACATGATACTGCTACAACCCACAGATCCGCCTCCACACAGGCCCCGGTTTGCACGCAGTATTTCGTGCGAAGCCTCGGCTCCAAAGGCTCCATCTCTGAGCCGCTGGCTCATTTCTGTGGAAGGGATTATAGGGTTTAGGGTTCTGACTCTGAGTTCTTCTGTGCCTGAAGTAAGCGTCGCACCCCTTCATCACCCAAGTCGTCGTGCAAAGTCGATTGATGTCGGGCGGCTCAATGTCCTCGGAGTCAAATGCTGGTGATATTGGGAATGATCATCCCCTGAGCCTCCCCTGAACCTTTCTTCCTGCTTTGGCCGTGCAGATGTGGGTTCCTGCTGCGATCCCTTGAGATCCGAAACCGGCCACGTGACACATCATCGAACTCCGGCTGACTCCGGCTGCCAAGCGACGCCCGCTGGGCTGTCGATGACCTTCATCAGCTCCTTCAAAGCTGTGTTTTCGAGAGATTCGGGCTTCAGGTGCTCCAGAGATATGGTCGCAGTCAGGCTTTGGAACTGCTGCCCGAGCTTTGGTTTGGTGGTTGTTTTGTTAGGGCGAATGGTGCCGAATGGTGAGCTACCAGTCCAGTGAGCTGGACTGCTCTTTGGCCTGTTGCGCCTACGAGCCATGCCTAGTCCACGAGCGAAACTATAGTAAGAACACACTTTCTCCCACAGAAACGGATCCCAGTAGCATGTACTCCTGCCGCGCGTGCTGCTGAGTGTGTCACTACGAGGGGGGTTCCACTGATCGCCGCAGATTTTGGCTACGGCGCCGTGTGGCGAGATAAATGCCTCGCAACACTCGCCTAAGTACGGCGCTCTAAGGATTGCCGCACCGCGACCCTCAAACACAGGCAAAACGATGAAAGCTGGCGTTCCGAAGCTCTGGAGCTGGGCGCCTCCACTGCTGAATTCCCCTGGGGCCGTGCAGGAACCTGCGAGACTTGACAGTCACGGGCGGAGCAAAGGGACCTTGCGGAGTCTTGTCGCAACTCTAAGTAGGAGGGAAGGAAAACAACGATAATCAACCTGGGGGCTTGGCTGGCTGAGTAGCGATCAAGAAATGGAGTAGTGACTTGCAGCTAGGATAGCTATGGTGTTCTACACTTCCGAAGAGTACAAACACTCAAACGGCGTACGCGGCCCCGAAACGTACAACCTCAAGGGCGAACCATGCGGGGCCGAAGCATCTCGCCGACTTCTCCAAACTAGCGTGCTTCAAGTTTTCTAAATTTCAAGCTGATGGTAGAGCTCAGCGGGTCGAGGCTGAACAAATATAAATTGTGACGAATGAATGGTTGTGACGAATGAATGGTTAAACCTGAAATTCGTGATTATGGCTTGATTTCAATCCTAAACCCCACCTGGACCCTTAAGCACCTCCCTGTTCAGTTTTCCTTATTATGACTTCCTTGTATAAGTCCACAAAAAGGTAGTTTCTTTTAAAGCCTAAACCCGGGGCTCTGGTTCTCCCCAAAAGCCGGGAGCGCACCGTCCCAGGGTCCCCGAGGGCCACGAAGGTGAAGAAACCCAGGGACCTGACTCACAGGCTCGATGCCAAGGGCAATTAAATCCAGTTCTTGCTGTGTCTTAGAGAGAGAGAGAGAGAGAGAGAGAGATACAGAGCGCAAGAGAGAGAGAGAGAGAGAGAGATAGAGAGGGAGAGAGACTGTGCAGGCAGGATCCTCATACACCACACCAATCCAAAACTCGCATAAAACCCTGACAGAGATGCCCAAAAAAGCTCTACCCGGCACCACCTGGATTCTCTTTTCGACCCAGCCGCAAAGGCACTAATAGCTCGAAGAGGAAGGCTGTGATGGGAGCCACCTCCAACAGGAAAAGCGGTTCGCAAGTTCACAGAGTGTAACCCAAGCCAATGCATTCTGTAGTGACGAATCCGCCATCTCGAAAATGGAGCAGTCAAGTTAGGTAGCTCTTGGCAACCTCGCACGGCCTCGTATCCGACTACCCGAATGTCCATGATGTACTGGAACACGGCCAGAGACACACAGACCTGGTGTGCAAAGTCTCCGCCGCAGCTGCGGTTTTTCAGTGTCTAGAATGCTTTTTCCCTGTTCTCTTGTTATCGACAAAAGCTTGGGGATCTGTCTGCTGTTGTGTAAAGCTGTCATCGACCCCCCCCCGTAGCTGCATCCCCGCTGCAATGCCGCAACATGCGTGAATGACCTTCGACTTTAGGAACCTTCTAGCAAACATGAACGGGAGGGCCAGCCAGAAGACCGGAAAGATCTTGTGGGCTGCTTTGTCCTCACGGAGACTGGCTGTCACTCATGGACTCATGGCTGCAGGGCTCCAAGCGCTGTAGTCGAAGGAAGTCGGAAGCTCAGGCGCACTCATTATCACCTTTTCTCGTTGACACTTGGCTTCAGGGTTTAGGGCGTGCTGCTGTTTGCGACGTTCCTCCGAGCTCCCATACTGGGAAGCGCAAGTCCCAAACACGCTCCTGCATGAGGCCTTTGAAGAAACCAGGCTTGCCTTTGCCGCTGCTTTCTGCCTGGCCGAAGCTGCTGCTTCGGGTGGAGGAGATGTCATGTTTGGTTGAGCAGGTCAAGGGTCAGTGGCAGTGCAGAATACAAGTCAAGAAGGTATTGCTTGGTCCCAGCCCCAGCCTCAGCATGCCAGTCGAACCCCTCTCAAGCAATGAAGCAAACGCAGCATTTCCACAAAAGACACGCGCAGTTTCTGAACTTCGCGGCGCCGAATGCAAAGCCTCTCTCTAGAACAAAAGTCAGATGCCAATCGATGGACTTTAACGGGCAATGCAACGGTGAGAGCTTGGGAGCCCCAACCGATCCTATAAGGAAAGGCCCACTTGGCTTTCTCTGATGGCGGTTCTCAGATGCAGCTGCCTGTGAGGTGTCCGGAAGCTACGGGGGCTGGACAAAAGAACATCTCTGCAAGCTACGGATGCGATGCGCATGGCTTCAAAAGACTGCTTCAATCCAGGAGGATGTGTCAATGTCTGCTTGAAGTGGATTAGTCCACGCTGCGATCGGCAGATAGGAACGGCGTAGAGACTTAGTCCAGCCCAAGGAATCCCGGAGGTGGAACCCCTGCTATGTACAAAGCTGATGCTCAGGACGGTCTTCACATCTCACCGTGCCGTCAGGTTCATCTTGTTGACCTCGGCCAAGCACCTGCGAAGATCGTCTCTGACAACTGAACGTGCGATCGATGTCTGCTACCCGGGAGGGCCTAACAACAATCCTCTGTTGAGGAGAACAAGTAGAGCCCAGAAGTAGAATCCAGTTAAAAGCGTACATGTCTCATGTCTTCGGACTCGAGAGTGCAAGACTGACAACCAAACCCAAGGTCTTGCAACTTCAACATCGACTAAGGTCTGGGTAGATGACGGCAAGATTTTGAGTCTAAGGGTCAGGGCCCTACATTAGAGCTTACGTTTACTAAGGCCTCGGGACCCATTCGATACCGGAGTCGAACGAAGTGGCCAGAGCCGGGATTAAGCTGCTGCTGTGATGTGTACTAAAACCCTGCATCTTTTCCAAGCCAGGCCTACGAGCTGATTCAACTCCGGCCCACATGTCTCTCTTTCGCTCGCTCTCTCCCTTTCTTCCCTTCCTTCTTCCGTTCTTTCTTTTTGTGTTTGTCCCTCTCTCTCTCTGTCTCTGTCTCTGTATGCAAGTAGATGCACATATTCATTCATGCCCGTCCATCCATCCATCCATCCGGCCAGTCAGCCAGCCAGTCAGCCATGTAGAGATGCAGTGTAGACTTATGCATGTGCGTGCTCAAACATGCGCTTCAAGAAAATCGCTCTCCTTGTGCATGGCCAGGCACTCGGCCGAGAGCCCCTGACGGAGCTTCTCGCCAGGGGTCCCATCTGCCGATGGGGAGAGGCTCTGTGCAGCAGCGATCCTTGGGATTCAGGGCTTCAAAGCTTCAGGACCTCTTGGGGTTTAAGGGTCTCTGAAAATTTCGGAGTCCTTGATGGGGCCTATAACAGGCTGCTCGCAGTGCCTGAAGCGGAAGGTCTGCGCGACTGTCAGGGGAAGCTCAGGCATAGACCGCGAAGCACCTAAACTCTAAAACATGCTGCTGAGCCCTCGGCAGCTCAAAGAACAGCCCTTCCCTTCCCTTGTCCCTCGAGGGTGGCGGGATGGGGCCTACTAAATGTATGCGGAAGCTGCGTTCCGAAAATCATGATGAAGAGGCCATACCTGCAGCTGGAACAACTGGCACATGCGGTCGCTACAGCCCAATGTTGCAGCTTGCACGAGCATCTGCGACAGCCCATCGAATCATGTCTCTGCATGACTGGATACCACATAGTCGCATGCAGTTGCTGTCGCTTGTCCTGGCGGAGGCGGTTCCACACGGGAGCTGGGACCCGAACTTGGTCTGGTCTTCGCCAAGTTGCACCAGGACCAGCCCGTGTAGAACTTTCCTGCAGGGTCCGACCTGCACTCAGCTGGCGAAGCAAGGAAGCTTGGAAACTCAGGCAGGTAGTGGTGCTACAGGTACCTGCCCCGGCTTTTTCCCTCGGTGCCCACGACCGTCAATGCTAACACCGCCCTCAAGTTGCTGAGAACCGCAGCGAGTTTGGGTTGCCGAAAACTTGCAAACATGCAGTTCGACGGCAGGCCAGCAACCCTCCGCAAAGCCCAGCCTTCTTCACTTTGCAGTAGTGAAACGCCACGATTGGGAAAATCTTGGTTGGTAGTTGTCGAATCGGAGGGCATTTCCAAACTCCAGGAACAAGAAGGATGTGAAGCAGCAACGCTTTTTAGGGACTTCGATTGCTTTCCAACACAGTCGCAATGGCCCGAGATTAAGAAGATTGAATCTACTAACCTTCCGCTCCTTGCGAGGGCTAGTGACTTCCAGGATTCCGATCCTTCGTCCGTTCTTTCTACAAAGTCCCATATTAGATCCAATCTCAGTCCTGCTCTTGACGACGGGTCATGCTCTGCCCGAGATATCCACACCCTGTACGAGTTAGTGGCCCCCTGTGTTGGTACTAAGAAGATATCTGGGTGAGCCAAGGCACGATGTTGTTGCACACGCCTTGGGGGCCAGGAAGGATGGTCTCTGCAAGCTTGACGGGGCACGGGTAATGCGGTCATAAGCTCCATGTTATAGAACTCCCTTGGAACCCGTAGACAACCCTCAAAGAACACCTGTAAAACCTTTCGAAACTCTTCAAGAACCCCTACGGAAGCCTCATAGAATCCTCAAAGGAACCTCTTTGAGTGAAGGCTCCGAAAACCGGAAGCACGAATTTTCATGCGCAATCAATAGACAAGGGTTTCTGGGGTAGACTCTAGCGCAAACTGTAAGAATGTTGGGCTATATCATGTTGGAGTTATATTTGGGGACTGTGGCAGTATAGGATCACCAACTCTTGCGACCTCCATATTACACCATGGGTCGCAGGGAAGCATTGATTTTGTTTGGGGGGTTGGGAGATGAGAAGCAAGAAAGCCCCCTGAACCTTGACCCCGCACCACGACCACCACAGGGTGACGTCGTACCCCACCGTACGTTACAGTCTGAAGACTCCCCCACTAAAAACAGCGGGAACAATCAGTAGTGCTGGTCCTCAGGAGGAACTTCTGCAGGAAAATATGATATGCCCCACAAAACCCTATTCAAGTTTATGAAGCCCCTACATTACCGAGATGCTTCAATGCACAATTCCCCGAGTCTTCTCGAAACCCAAAACCCGAAACGACAACAAATCCTAAACCCTGAACCCTTAACCCCCCGCACCCTAATCCTTGAACCCTTTCAACTTCGCAGCTGCGTGGCAAAAGAGGGCGGCCACCAGAGCGCTCATTGCCACCTTATAGTACCCGTAAAATAACTTTGTAGTGCCATTAGAGTACCACCTTCGATATGGGGGGGGGGGGGTATCAGGCTGTCTCATGGGTTTTGATAAAAGCGCCTTTAGGGTGTTGCAAGGTGTTTCTTGTGGGTTTTTGGTGTCTTTCAGGGTTCGAAGAACTATTATAGAATTTCGATTCCAATGCTAAGGGCCCGCTATCAGTAGACTTGCGCGCCGGGTGCGCCCAGAAGGAGTCTCATGTAGGGGCCTTAACAATTAGAATACTGTTTTGGGGAAAATGGTACTCCAGTCAAAATAAGGAACCCCAATAGAGTATAGGTAGTTATTTAAGCCTTAGATTATGGAGGATAAATGCAAGGACTGGGCGACCTGGAGAAGAAAAGCCGTGGACGAAGTCCTAGTCCAAAGCTGATAAGTGGAGTGGGTTTTCTGTATGGGCCTTTAGAATAGGGTTTTGGGGGCTTATTGTAATTATAGTATAATATACCAAGCCTTATTGTAATTATTAAGGCCCTTATATTCAGGTTTTTATTGTCTTAGCTCATGGCGCAAGCTGCACAATTCCAATTGCCGGAGGGCGAAAGATTCGATGCCTGTCGCGACGATGAATCTCAGAGCCGCGAAGCTGATTCGCATGACCTGTGTCGACACCCTTTTGCAATGCTGGCAGGCTCCAGTCTTAGGTGCGCGGAGTGTGTGATACGAGACTTGTAGAGAGGTTCTTGTGTCGGGATTTGGTTCCAAGGTCAAGAGTCCTGCCCGTCCCTGCCTTCTTCGCCCAACGGGGACCGCGGCGGAAGACACCTCTGCAGCACACTCCAAGGCGAGGCAATCAAGGGTCAGAAGCCGTAAGCTCTTGCGTCGAGGAAGCCGGCAAGCCCGACATGCAGGATTGCAGACTATCGGCTTGAATGCTCTGGCTGTTTGCGATAACCAACAGGCCACAGCGGACTTCATATTCCTCACCTTGTCTCCGTCTCGGAATCCAAAAGTGACGAGTCCTTCGACAAACTTTCTTCAGCGCCCTCGAGAGAAATCCAGCTGCAGGCCAAGCAGCCTGGGAAGGAGGCTTCCACCGCGAGCCTCGGTGTCTCAAGCCCCAGTGCTGTTGGGCCCCTTTTGGGAGTTTCTGCCTGAGAGAGCCCTAAGCTGCCCCAAGTCCCGCTCCGAGAACTCGGAGAGGCCAGCAGCTTTGTCTTCCGTGCTTTGAGGGCTCTGCAGATGGCTGAGCTGTCTACTGGAGTTCGCATTCAGGCGTGGTTGCATACATACAAGCTTAGTTGGCTCTGGAAGTTCTACGAAGCTACAAACCTTCAATCACAAAGTCCCCAGTTCGCTGGAAGCCACTGAGGCGCCGGCACTGTACAGGGAATCCAGATGGCTTCTGTCATGAGGAGGTTAATGGTCCTGGGCTTGAGGCCAATGGATTCTCGGTGAGCCCCTGAAGTTAGGACCCTGCATCTCTGAAAGGCCGTGACTGTCGTGGAAGCCTCGAGCTTCGAAGGCCCAAATCATTAGAACACGGAAAGCTATCTAGTCAGGAACATGCTGGACTTTGTACACCCAAGGAAGGCCTGGAGGGTGCGCATTGTGGGCTACAGCTCCAGCACGGAAGAAACTCAAATGCCCACAAACTCAAACAGCTTGAATTGCGACCTTAACGCCCCGGGGAACCGCCTTTGCCCCCTGAAGCCGGCCAGGGCTCACAATCAAGTCCAAGCCCGCGCCGGCAACCTGCGGCCGGGAGCCGGAAGTCTCGCAGGCCCGAGGCTTCAGAGATCTCTACCATAAGACCCGGAAAGAGGAAAGGGCCCTAAATCACAAAAGTCCAGAAAACCCCTACTGAAGCCCTGAAGCACTAAAACCGCTCAACTTCTCCTCTCATCCTGAATTTTCTGAGGGCCCGGGCCGTGAGGTTCCCGAGCTCCCAGGCGCGATCCAAGGCCCACCAGCCCGCCGGCCGGTCCTCGCTTGGGAAATGACTCGGTCGAAAATGGGAAATGACGACAGACATACAGACAGCCACACATATATATATATATATATGTATGTATGTACGTATGTATGTATGTATGTATGTATGTATGTATGTATGTATGTATGCGTATATGCATGTATGCATGTATGTATGTATGTATGTATGTAGGTCGGGAGGTAGGCAGGTAAGTATGTATGTATGTATGTATGTATGTATGTATGTATGTCTGTACGTATGTGCGTAGGCATGTGTATATACAAAAAGCCTATAGTTACAAAGATCTTACATTCAAGTATGCTATTTGTGTGCATATATATATATAGAGAGAGATAAAGCTTCACAAACATACGGTGACCTGTAGCAGTGTGGTATGCTCTGTGGTGACTATGTTACGGCATGCCTGGTATGTGGTTATGTACATCATTTTCGGTGCACGGGGTGCTTCCGATCCGGGCAGCAGTCAGCTCCACCGGGGCGGCCCTGTTATCCACTTCGTGGATACGAGCCTACTTTGGCTGCAGCTTGCAACATATGTATTCTGCGGGCCTGCTCCCTTTCACAACTCAGGAGCATCGCGTCGTCGACCACGAGGAGCTTCCTCAAACCTAGAATGGAACCTCCACGTAGCCGTCAGCTATCGCCAGTGAGGACACCCTGCGGCACTCCGATGTGTCCCCCTCCAGACCCAGCATAAGGAAATGCGGGATCGACTGTCCCCTGGCGAAGTCGGCTGCGGCCCAGTTCCGGCAGTTCCGGAGGTCCAGTCTGGCACCGGCGGAGATGAGAGTCGCTGCAGCCTCGAACTGAGCCGACCTGAGGGCCTGCATCAGTGGAGTGCTTTTATCGAGATGATAGGCATGAGCCGTCATCACAGAGGGCCTAAGGCCGAGGCGGTGTTGCAAGGACTTCAGGCCCACCAGCAGCCGGCCCAGTGGCCTATAATCGCGAGGCAACTTAAACTGAAAGTTTATGTCGGCATGGAGCTCAATGAGGTGGAGCACCAGTTCTGCCGAGCCTCCCCGAAAAGTTGCCGCCCCCCAGAGCGCTCTTGAAAGCTCCAAGGGGCCCGGGCGCCCCTGCAGCACCAGCTCCTTCAAAGCTGCGACGGCCGCATAGGAGGCTGCCGCCTCCAAGTTGGTGGCACCAACCACATTCTTGGCGAGTGGCTTAAGGCCTGCCTCACAGAGTTCACGGATACCCTCTGCATTGTCTGAGATTGCCGCAAAGACAATAGGACTGCCAGCAAGTCCACCCTCCAACTGGGCCCTCACCGCCAGAAGCCATCGTGTTGCCTCGTGGTGCTTGTAGAAGCTGGTAATCTCAAGCACCGACATCCAGGGCGGGAAGCCCAGCATCGGCTCATCCTTCGACGTGCGCCGGTTCAAGTCGGCGCGTAGCTCCAGGAGACCTTTCATTACCGTCGTATTGCCAGAGAGCGCAGCGTAGTGCAGTGGACGCCAGCCCGCAGCGTCGGCCTCGTCGACACTCCTCAATCCGTTCTGATGGAGGAACTCTGCCACCGAGTCGCCATCACAGCTCGAAAGCAGGCCATCCACGGGCTCAACGTCCAGGCTCCGCAAATGGACCGCCTGGAGGTTGAAGTGCCGCCGGAACCCTGAAAGGTCGCCTGCTCTAAGGCAATGATTCAGCTTTTGTACCAAGATCTGCCGCATCACCGGGGCCAGCTTCTGCCGATCATCCACAACAGTGAAGTCGCCCTCACCAACCCATCCACTCGGAAACGACAGCACTGTGCCCACGACTTCCATAGAAGTATCGCTGCGAATCAGAATCCAAGTGCTGTCTGGTGACAGCTCACGCGCAGCGCGCTCTAGGCGGCACCACCCCCTGCGGCTCCAAGTGGTTCATTCATTCATGCATTGTACGTC